TCCTCTTCTCCATTGCCATCCTCCAGGAGACGCTGTACTGGACGTCGGCCCTCGGTGGTGCCTTCATCTTCCTCTCCGTGCTGATGCTCGGCTTTGCGAAGATGGCCAGCGAGATGGCGAAGAGTTCTGATGATAAGAAAAAAGTACCTCCAAAAAGTGACAGTAACAAAGGAGGAGGAGGAGGACGATGGCGGCGGCGAATCTTTCAGCTCAATCTCTCCACGGCGGCGGCCAAGCTGAAGCAGTCAAAGTCCTTTGACATTATCTCCTCATTCTCATCTCATCAGCAACAAAAGGTTGGACACCTTTCTTCGCTTGGAGCATTCTCCAATCCGACGCTCTCCTCCACCGATTCTCTATCGCCGAACTTTACCTTTGCAATTGCCCCGCCGGTTTATCCGCTTTATCAAAACACTATCACTTCGACTTCTCCTTCTTCTGCCACCACAGAAAGTGGCCTTTACGGCGTGGGCAGTGAGCCGTACCTGCTGCGAGTGGCGCCGATCAACGGCTGTGAAGCTCAACATCGAGGACTTCGACCCGAACAGCACAACAACAACAGTATAGATGGCAATAATAATGTCGGATAGAGCGCCCAGAATAATCGATCTTTGTTCTCCATGCACTAAAAATTGTGATCATCATCATCAGAATAAGCTTTTCTTTGCCAGCAGAGGTAAATCCATCAATCATGTCTTTTCACTTTATTGTTATCACCATCACCATCATCATCGACCTTTTCTTCCCTTCTCTTCCTCTTCCGTTATCATTTAATGAATATTTTATACTTGTTTCCCCTGTTGGCCGCTGTTTTGTAAAATACTTTCTTTCTTTCCTCTTCACTGTTGACTCTTCCCTGATTGACCCGTCCCTTCACATTTTATTCTATTTTTGCCCCATAAAGAACCTTGAATTATTAATTGTGGGAACCGTTATCATCAGCCTTTTTCTAATAATTTGGTCTTTTTTCTTCTCTCTCATTTAGAAAGAAGTCACTGGAAAGAAGAAACTGAAGTCAGCAAGGAATTCATTCATTCAGTCTTCATCAGTCGGCAAAAGAAGAGAGAACCTTTTTTTCAAGAGTTTGACTGCAGCAAAAAAGAAGCCAAGAATCCAACAAAATCAGAAATGTCCACAACAACGGAAAAACCGGCGGACGCTCCGCTGAGAGAGGCCCTCGAAAACGACGTCTGCTTCATCCTCACCTCCGCCTTCCTCATCTTCACCATGCAAACCGGCTACGGGCTGCTCGAATCAGGCACCGTTTCCCGGAAGAACGAGGTGAACATTCTGCTGAAGAACGCCGTGAACATCATCTGCGGGACGTTGGCCTTTTGGTGCTACGGCTTCGCCTTCAGCTCACGGGAGGCAGACGTTGGGCGACTGAAGTTGACCGAGCTCGACTTGCATCCCTCTCCAACACCGCCACCGTGGCGGTTGAAGAACTCCCTACAAGCTCAAAAGCAAAACAAAAACTTCAGCAGCTTTGGAGACTTTCTCCGGGTGCACGTCGTCTCGCCGGAGCGCTTCTTTGTGCACGTCACCGGAACGGAGTTGATTGGAACGACCTACGCGGAGATGATGTTCCAGCTCGCCTATGCCACTACTTGTACCGCAATCATCAGCGGGGCCATGGCGGAGAGGTGTCGCTTTCTGAGTTACTTTGTCTTCAGCCTCTTTAGCAACATTCTCTTTTGTTTGCCCGCCCGGTGGACGATGTTCACCGGGTGGCTGAATGAGGTAAGCGGATTGAGGTGGATTTCTTTTAGAACTTGCTAACTTACCTTTTCACTTTTTAGGTGGGCGTCGTCGACGTCGGCGGCAGCGGCCACGTCCACCTGGTGGGTGGCTGTGCCGGCCTGGTGGCCGCCCTGCTGCTAGGCCCTCGGTTAGGGCGTTTCGATGGGCAGTTCAAGCACGTACCGATGGGCAACCCGACGAACGCCGTCCATGGGATCATCTTCCTCTGGTGGGGCTGGCTGGGCTACAGCGCCGGCAGCACTTTTGGCATCACCGGTGACCGGTGGAAGTACGCCTCGAGGGCCTCCGTTTCGACGATAATGGCCTCCATGGCGGGGGGCGCCTTCGGGATGGTCTGGAGCGCCCTGACCCAAGGAGGCCTGCAGGACATCAAGATTCTCTGCTATTCGATTCTCGCTTCGCTGGTGGCCATTAGTGGAGGAGCGGCGGTGATGCGCCCAGCGCTGGCTATTGTGACCGGAGTGGTGGCGGCGGCGGTGACACTGGTCAGCATCTCGCTGGTGGAACGGTGTCGGGTGGACGACCCGACGG